TATCCACTTTTCGTCGCCAGTAACTAGGTTCTTCAGAAATGGATCATTCTCATTGCGTTTCAGTAGCGGCGAATCACAGATGCTAATCCGTTGCGTCAAATGAATTTCCTTTAACGGCTGGTGAGGGATCCATAAATCAAGTTTCTTGACATAACCAAGGGTTTTCAATTTTTTTTCAATGCATGTATGCGACACATTGAGCAGCTTCTCTGCAATATCATCTCGTGTTGTGCTGTGACGATTTGAATCGATAATGGCCTTGATATGGGTTTCATCCACTTCGACTGGGCGGCCAGATCGTTGTGAATTTTCAGTGAAAAATCACCGGAACGAAATTTTTCAAACCAATTTCGACACTGCCTTTCTTTTAAGGCTTCATCGCCATATACGGCACATAACTTCTTTTGTGCTTGCAATGCGTTCTTGCCTTTTCGGAAGTAATACAATAAAATGTGTCGGAAGTGCACGTCCTGTTCTTTCATTTTTAAATTGAGATAAAAACAAAACTAAAGAACTAAACAAAAAATTTTTTACTAATTAACCTAGAAGCCCATAGAGTAAGAAAAAAATAAAGGTTAGATGCTCTGGCCACGTTAACAAAACAAAAGAAAGTATAGAGTGAATCTGTCAACAAAAACGGCAATGACTTGGTTGCCAACCTAATAAAATGTTGCATTCGAGAAAAGGAAGTTTACGATCTCAAATATGGGAAAACATTGGAGATCATGTATGTTTGTGTGTGAGTGTGCGGTTTTCGGTATAGAAAAGTAGGTACATCAACATCCCACGGTAAAACAAGGCATTCACACATCCAATTATGAAATTTTATAGCATGAATAGATACCCTTTTTGGGGGGGGGGGGTATGGGCGCTGAAATGAGAGAATGCGTACAGTTTATCTATGGAGACTGACAAGGAAACGAGAATCGATTCACATTTAAGGAGGCATGTGAAGAGACTTGTGGAAAGGTTGATGTTAATTTCAATTTTATAGGCCTAATTTCATAACGATGTTCCTTCGTGTCCTCGGACCGTAAACGAGGCACCGCAATCATATGCAGTAAATGATGAATGCGAACATATTCCCCAAAGAGCATTTTTGTTTTCAAAACTGGTTTATTGTCATGTATTTTGCGCAGTTGGCTCAGTCTTTAATGTGCCACACTTTGTTACTTGAGGTTGTGGGAAACAGCACTTCTCAAGTGTGGTCACTTGAGTGGAGGGGGGTATCTCATATGAGTAGCCTCTTTCAAAATTGTGTATTGAAACGTGTTTTCTCATTTGCATTTAAAAATAGGGTTGATTGAAATATGCAAAACTTGAGATAGCAGGAAATTTGTATGAAGACAGAGTGTAGGCCAATGGGATATGAAGTGAAAGAAAGTGAGGTAGGAATAATAAAATATAGGTAAGGGCAGGGGGGGGGGTAGAAGGAGAGAAGGGGGAATGAAAAGTGACTTCAAACGGTAATATGACAGAGAGACCAAATTTCGTTGTGGGAAGAAGAGTAGTGTCTTTGTTTTGTCTGAAATATGCATGTGCTATGGCTAGCAAGTAGTAAAGTAATCTATCACAATAAGACAAAGTGCGAATACTGTTGATAAATTAGTCTCAGTCTATAGGGAGATTTGTTAACTACAATTTTAATTTAACATATAAAGGTTAAAAAAGTTGAACACAAATATAATCAAATTTTTTGATTAATACACAATTGTCTAATTCGTGAATTGAAGGGTGTGGCTTGTTGGTGGGTCATGATTTCAAATTATTGCACAATGAGATTTTCCGTGTTCACACTTTGACTGACATTCCTCTAGAGTTTCAAAGTTGTTTCGATTGGCATCACAACCACCCCAGATGAACTGTCGACACTTTTGAGTTGATTGATCATAACCATATCGTTGAAAGTAGGCTCTTCCTCTTCCTGTTTCGATTGGATCCATACAGTCCTTATGTAGAGCTAAAAGTGGAAATGAGCGTATAATACTTATTTCCCCATCAATTTTACTGTCTGTTTGTTTGTGAGGTCAATGACTTTTAATTTACAAATCAAGTTGCGTTTATTTGAAGAAGACTTACATTTATCTCAATTTCTAGCCGGCAGTTACATTTACATTCTCTCAAAAAACAAATTAGTCAGGATGTAGATATTTCATGGGCTGTGTTTTATATTCTGATAGATGATAGATGGATGTATCGATAGAGTCACTCTCATGGTGAATGCAGTGAAGCTGATTGGATCTATTCCCTCCTCCCAGTTAGAACGTGTGCGTACCATCTGGTCTCCTAATGATCTCATCATTATTCCATACCATCTCGAGTTTGCCTCATAATTAGCGCTTTTGCAATGTCGGCAGATCACTTAAACCAATATTTTTTCCAATTTTCACAATTTTTTATCAAACACAAACACATTTGTTCTCCACTTCTTCAATGTCAAATAGGAAAGAAACGTTAAAGCAAGTTGGGTGCATAGAGGGATCTTCACTTACCCACACTTTCGGCGATAATTAAGAGTAGTGCTATCAACGCCTGTGTTTTCATTTCTAATGAGAAGTTGGTTTCAATTTTACTTAAATTCAGTAAGTGAGTCGATTTGAGTTCCAATTGGTTGTTCACTATTTTGGCAAACGATCAAATGACGATTGTGCTCACATGTTGCAATTGCACAACATCGAAATTGAAACAGACTGGCACTTGACTAATTACGCTTCCTGCTTAAAGATTTTGTTCGAAATGACGTTTACAAAGGTTGGGATTGGAGTTCAATGTGTACAATCATATGCCTGTTATCAACAAAGAAATAAATTCTCATAATCTTGGCATGTTATAGCCGTGATGGGCCTTAATCCCATTAAAAACAAGTCTAATATCTTATGGCCTCAACGCATACTTTACTAATTTCATAAACCTGATGGGTGACATGATTTTCACTTGGAAATCCTTGTGTCGTTTCTGTGGTTTTAGGCGGATGACATCACCTCTGAAAATAGATATTTTTACTAAAAAAATACTTAAACTTACAATCTTTTACAATCTTTCACTTACTTAGTCGATAAATAAGTCATCTGGAATAGCCCCAGCCTGTTGAACGTATGTCAGAGAAACTCTTATCATTGAGAAAATGCAGAGGAACCTATTCTTGTGAATGCAATAGCACAACAAGAACGTTATCACTCAAACATTGTACGCAAAGACCATGGTGCTCGGTTTCATTAATGCATTAGGATTCAGTAAGAGGACACGTCTCTTTGATCCCTCTGTAGGCTCCTTACTGACCAACATCAGTGGTACACACGCATAAACTCACACTCAAATGTACTTGTTACCTTCGTTGGTACACTAGAAAAAATGCTTAATTGATTGATTTGATTAAAACGGTTTTCAGGAATTTTGTGAGAATTTGAGAGCAAATGATGAAACTTATTATTTGCTAGCAAAATTGGCATTCATATCAAAGCACTAAATTTTAGATTATAGAGTAGGATAAGAAGACAAACGTGTGGAATTTTTTTCCGAATCTTCGACAGTATTTGAGTTTCAAATAAACAAAATTTGAACGAAACCGCGGAGGTAAGAATTTGAGATCAAATTCAAAAACGCACTGGGAGATCGAAGAAAATACACTCACTTATGAAGAAACCATGTTCTAGGTCATTGTATAGAATGAGGAGAAAGACAAAGAAGTCGAATATGAAGTGAGCGTTGGAAACGCGAAGGCGTTTGTACTGCGCCAAAGTTGAGTAGAAAATCGGCAATCAATATCCCGCCCCCTCCTTTTAACATGTTTTGCACTCATTTAACATGGAATTTCTAATACATTCACACCTACTCTTCGACACTGAGCGATTAAAATGCAAGATATTTATACATCTTTCCACTAGTGGTTGACAACTGATCTATTAGATTGGCAACTAAGTCATTGCCGATTTCAAATAGGAAGGTAAATTCGGAATTTTTGTTAAAAAATATAACTTTATTCAATTAGATATTGGCCGTTCTTGTCGATGACCTTTTTCCATCGTTCTGGCAGAGTAAAAATTCCTCATTCGTAAAATGTCTGGTCTTTGCTATTATAAAACTGAATTAGGTGTGATTCGACATCATCCGCGTTGTTAAAAATTTTACCATTTGAAGAGTTTTGCATGGAACGAAACAAATGGTAATTCGAAAGCGCAAGGTCAGGGCAGGGCTATATGGTGGGTGTGACAAGACATCCCAACCCAAGTTCCAATAATTTTTGCCGAGTAACCAAAGATGTGTGGGGCCTTGCGTTATCAAAGATGTGTGGAAAACAACACCCTTCCGATTTCATAATGCCGGCCGCTTATCTTCAATTGCATCCTTCAGTTTTTCCAGTTGTTCAACATACACATTTGAATTTATCGTTTGGTTCTGCGGTATGAGTTCAAAATACAAAATTCCTTTGTGATCCCACCAGACTGACAGCATAATCTTTTTTTTGGTGAATCTCTGCTGCTTTTGATACTGTTTGGGCTGGTTGATCTTGCTTCACCCATGATCTCTTGCGTGTAACATTGTTATAAACTATCCAATTTTTGTCGCCAGTAACTAGGTTCTTCAGAAATGGATCATTCTCATTGCGTTTCAGTAGCGGCGAATCACAGATGCTAATCCGTTGCGTCAAATGAATTTCCTTTAACGGCTGGTGAGGGATCCATAAATCAAGTTTCTTGACATAACCAAGGGTTTTCAATTTTTTTTCAATGCATGTATGCGACACATTGAGCAGCTTCTCTGCAATATCATCTCGTGTTGTGCTGTGACGATTTGAATCGACAATGGCCTTGATATGGGTTTCATCCACCTCGACTGGGCGGCCAGATCGTTGTGAATTTTCAGTGAAAAATCACCGGAACGAAATTTTTCAAACCAATTTCGACACTGCCTTTCTTTTAAGGCTTCATCGCCATATACGGCACATAACTTCTTTTGTGCTTGCAATGCGTACTTGCCTTTTCGGAAGTAATACAATAAAATGTGTCGGAAGTGCACGTCCTGTTCTTTCATTTTTAAATTGAGATAAAAACAAAACTAAAGAACTAAACAAAAAAATTTTTTACTAATTTACCTAGAAGCCCACAGAGTAAGAAAGTTTTACTAATTAACCTAGAAGCTTATACAGTAAGAAAAAATATACATAAAAACAAAACTAAAGAACTAAACAAAAAAATTTTTGTGTAATTAACCTAGAAGCCCATACAGTAAGAAAAAAATATACGTTAGATTGCACTGGCACGTTAACAAAACAAAAGAAAGTATAGAGTGAATCCGTCCAGCCCATACAGTAAGAAAAGCCCATGTACAGTAAGAAAGAAATATAGGTTAGATGCTCTGTCCACGCAGGTTATATGCTCTGGCCACGTTAACAAAACAAAAGAAAGTACAGAGTGAATCCGTCAACAAAAACGGCAATGACTTAGTTGCCAACTCAATAATTTGGAATAGTATGGCATACCGAAATGCCATCTAATGGAGCATATTCTTTTCTGTAAGAACACGAATTGAATTTGATAGAGGAGTAGTTTCAGACCAGACAAATTTCAAACTCTTGCGAATCTTTATTTTTTGACGGGATAGTAAAGCTTTTGGTGGAAATGGAGAACAGGTGAAGAGTGTGCAATATCCTGGAATTTATTGGAGCAGTTTGGGAAATCTCTGGTAGCAATCAGTAAAAATTTACCTCCCTCACTCATGCTGATAAAGATTGAAAAAAATACAACACAATTTTCGTATACAGATAGCGCATAATTAATTTAAGATTAAGTTTTAAAACCCTTATGAGTTAAAAAAATACTTCTGGGAATCAGTGCAAATGATCCTAGTGGAATTAGTTCCTCTGAATTCTGCCTCATGGCTTTCCACTTCTCTCGTGGTGCGTTTAATCAATACTCTTTAACCAAAGAAATTACATGCACATCCATTGTTGTTGAAATCGGCCTGATGCCACGTAGCTGTTTTACAATTTGAAATTGTTTAACTACAATTTATAATCATACCTACCTAAAATAATATGTTCACAGGAAGGCTAGTGTTAGAGGGTTGGTCAAAAGAAGTCATCATTTGCAGAAAACGTCCAGATAAATTCCTGCTCACATAACTATATAAATTTCATTAAATGCTATATCAAGGGGTGTGCGATAGACTTACCTCCACGTGGTGCACCCTGGGCAACGTATATTCATACGGTAAAAAAGTCTATTGACTGGCAGTTGACTTCTCACTTCAAACTACCATCACCTCACTATGCCATATTCGAACATTTACACAGTATTCACCTCACCTTTGTTCTACCTTTGTGTTTGTCTCTTACATCTTTGAAATACTCTTCTGTTCCCCCCTCGACTTTTTTTCAATTTGATGTTCCTTCCCCTCTGTGAAGCCTGAAGTCAACTAAAGGGCTAATGATAACCATCAAGACGCCTGCCATTTGAGATAAATAAATAAATATACTATATCAGTGTTCGAATATGGAGCCATCGCTGCCTTCAATGAACCAACTAATCACACCAACTCTGGTCACTTTGAAGAAGTAAAGGAAGTTCTTGGCTTGATCACAATTGAATTTAGAAAGTAGAATGTGCCAACTTCTCACAGACGACTGGACATTCAACTAGGCGACAATGAAAGCGCATAATATAAAGTTATTCAGGCATGATTACTTCATCAGCACTTAGGAATGCCATCATAGCACAGATATTGCAGAATAGAAAAAATGTGCTGAATGAAAGTGATTCAATCAAATAAAATAAACAACACATTCTGTTAAGGACAGCAGGCGTTGTTGGTCTGGCAACAACCTCTATTTTCGGAGACACACACTCTCGCATTCTTCCAGTGTTTTAAAGTTGTTTTTGTTGCCTCTACAACCACCGTAGATAAACACCTCGCATTGGCCTGTCTTGCTATTCATGGCCCATCGAGGTAGGTAAGCACGACATGGACCTGGTTCGATCGGGAGTTGACAGTAATCGGTTTGAGCTGAAGTAAGGAGAAAGGAATTAGTACATGTTTGAGGCTATGCAAAGAGAACTGGTGCAAAATTAAGAGAGCAATTCGAGAATTCGTTCATTTTCTATCAAGCTACTCAAAATAGTTACTCACCTTCGCATACGACGAGTGACACTGCAAGAAAGAGAATCAATAGTATTTTCATTTTTCGCAAGTCCATTCGAACATCTTTTCCATGTCTATTTATATACCAGCTGAAAGTACGCCGTTTGTTTGTTTTGTAAAGTGTCAGGTGAAAATGGTTCAGTTTTGCATCGCCGTAATAAATGTACTCTAATGGGTCAGCTTAACAGAGCACTTGGGTGCCGAAGAATGAAGCATTCAATATTTTCGTATGAAGGTTACCTGAAGATCATTTGGGCATTCCTGATAGGTGATTTAGTTAAATGTTTAACGTTGGCGAGT